AAAGGGGGGAAAGGGGGGAAAGGGGGAATGGGTAAGGGGGAAAGTGGCGATTTGCATTAGATAAAAAGGCTTTTCGGGTGAAGTTAGGTAGTCAAACACTCGCCCCCCACAAGGAGTGATGGGGAATCAATGGAATGGCATGTTCAAACAACTTCATCGATCGGTTTACCTTTCATTACGAGTCGTTCGGGACGCCTCGTCTCTGTCATGGAAGAGAAAGCTTCTAAAAAAGGCATGAGTACGACGAGGAAAACGAAAACGCAGCCGTTTAGGGCATGGAATTCTGGATTCCATCTTGTAGACAGTTGGAGGTCGGACCTTCCATGGATGAATCGAAAAGTCGAGGCGAAAGGTCGATGAAATTCTACGAAATGAAAGATTGCCTTTTATAAAGTGAACTCTTCCAAAATATGTTATCATCAAATATTTGAGGATCGAATCGGGAACAGAATGAACATTTTGAAACGTATCTTTTTTACGAATCGAGGCTGGACGGGGAAAATTCGACGCCGGACACCCTGAGCAACGTCTCGGACGACGCCGAAGAGGGAGACAACGTGAACGTCGTCGTCAGGTGAGTCCCTCCCCCCCCCGACACTCTCCCGCCCCGAGGGCCTCGATCGTTCCCCACGTTTCCTCCTCGCAGGGTGAGGCCGTTGAGCGAGAAGGAGATCGAGAGAGGCGAGCCCATGGCCGTCACCTTCCCCGGCGAAGGACAGATATGGGTGAGTCCGACGGCGTGAATCTCCCAAACGACCCTCCCCTCCCGACTCCGTCGAACGACCTCCCGACTCTCGATCTCTCGCAGGCGGAGAGCACGGCGAAGGACATGAAACCGAAGACGTTCTCCTTCAACGTGGTGTTCGAGGGAGACGCGACCCAAGAGGACGTGATGATCGCCTCGGGCATGCTCCGCCTCATCGAGATGGGCATGGACGGCTACTCGACCACCGTCTTCTGCTACGGACAGACGGGGAGCGGGAAGACGCACACTCTCACCGGGCCTCCTGGCCTCGTTAGTTCCTCTTTCCTCCGTCTTCTTACGGACGGAATCCGGCGTTTGTTTCGGAAGAGTTGCAGACCCACAAGTTTTTCGTTCGTTTCATCCAACCGTTTTACTGCCGAGAGAAGTAAACGAGAAACAAGGATCGCTTCGTCAAATTTTTTCTTAAACCAAATTTTTTTGCTCTATCCGCGCCCCTTATTTTTGCATGATTTTTGGGGGGGATGACAGGGCGGATGTTATCATGGGCATAAATATTTATCCGATGACAAAGGGATCGTACCTCCTGTCGTGTTGAAGGAAATCACGTTTTTCGGACAACCTTTTACCGGACACGTAAGAGCCTTGAACCGAATTCATTCCGTGCGACCGCATCGTGTACAGACGTCTACGTTTATGTTATCAAACGGCCACGGTCCGACAAATAAATAAAAGGTCTGTAATCGAAGAGACGACCTCACTCGTTTCAGTTCAAGAAGATGGACTTCATGTCGGAGGATCACGGCCTGATCTTCCGGAGCTTCGTCCACCTCTTCCGCCTCATCGAAGAGTCGAAGGAAGACGTGAACTACGTGCTCCGGGCCTCCTACCTCGAGATCTACAACGAGCAGGTGAAGGACCTGCTCAACCCGAACCCGGACCAGCGGTCCCTCCAGGTCCGATGGTCCAAGAAGGTCCGCGGCTTCTACGTCGAGAATCTCTTCACCGTGGAATGCAACGAGATCGACGACCTCGTCGCCGTCCTCGAAGAAGGTACCGCGAACTCCATCGAGTCCCTCGCAGACGGAGGATTAAAGCGATCAAATTTTCAAATAGGTTTCATTTCGAAAATTCCAGAGTCTAGTATTTGTACAAATAAATTTATAAATACGTATAAACTTATATATACGTATAAACATATAAAAATTTTAATTAGTTTAAAATTAGTTTTAAAAACGTTTAAAATTAGAGTGATACTTTTCGAACCGAAAGGACCGAAGTTGTTACATGACTTTCGAAACGAAACGAAAACTGCATGTTACGAACCTCAAACCCAGAAAAAAATCAAATCCATAGAATTCGGCAGATCTTAGGAGGTTAAACGTTTATATTTTTTTAACGACGGGATTGTTATATTTATCGCGAAAATAGGTCTGAGCAACCGCCACGTCCGAGGCCACAACCTGAACGAGTTCAGCAGTCGGAGCCACACGATCCTCACGGTGCACATCACTCAGGAGCAGCAGGTGAGACGACTCGTCGACCGATTGCCGACCGCGAACGGCCGTGAACCCTTCCCGTTCCCCGTTCCAGGAGAGCGAGGAGGGGATCTTCCTGAGCAAGCACGGGAAGATCAACTTCGTGGACCTGGCCGGGAGCGAGAAGTCCAGCGAGACGCAGACGATCGGAAAGAGCCTGGAGGAGGCGAACAACATCAACAAGTCCCTTCTCACGCTCGGTCCGTTCAGACTCCGCATTCCTAGGGGAAAGGGGACGAGAAGGTAGGGGAAGGTCGTCGAGGGGAGAAAGGCAGAGAAGGTAGGGGAAAGTCGTCGAGGGGAGAAGGGCAGAGAAGGTAGGGGAAGGTCATCGAGGGGGAAAAAGGCCAGTCGAGGCGATGGAGATGGAGAAACGAACCTCTTCTATTCCTCGTTGCATGCCATGGGTCTTCACGGAAGCTCCCATTTCTGCTGGCAAGTTAGAAAATAATAATGCGTCCTTGAATGATAGGGAAGAGGATCGCCTTCCCAAAGATTCGGCACCCCATTTCCCCCCCCCCCTACCGCGCCCCGCGTCTTGCTTTTAGTGGAGCGGGTTTCCGTCTGAGGGCGCGCGAGAGAGTAAATTTTGAGACGATCGTCTTGGTGACGAAGAGAAAGGTTGTAAAACCGGCGCTCTGGGATCGCGTTCGACAGGGACTTGCATCTCGGCGCTCAGCGACCCGAAGAAGAAGTCCGGACACATCCCGTACCGAGACAGCAAGCTGACGAAACTCCTCGCGGATTCCCTGGGAGGAAACGGCGTCACCCTCATGGTAGGCCCCGTTTCCCGTCCCGTCTCCCGTCTCGCCCCCGAAGCGGTCGAACCCCGACGCACGCGTGTTTCTCGCAGGTCGCGTGCATCTCGCCGGCGAAGAGCAGCCTGTCGGAGAGCCTCTGCACGCTGAGGTACGCCGCCAGGGCCAAGAGGATCAAGACGAAACCCATCGTCATCATGGTGAGCGACTCCGTTTCTCGCTCTCTCTCGCGCGCGCTCCTCGCTCTCACTCCTCGCCCCTCGCTCGCGACTCCGTGCAGGACCCGCGAGAGAAGCTGATCATCAGTCTGAAGCGGGAGGTGGCGGCGTTGGAGCTGGAGAACTCGTACCTGAAGGCCCAGTTGGGCCTCGCACCGGACGCCACGCTCGACCTCCCCGTTCCCCCGCCCAAGAACGACGTGAAGATCGTCGCCAGGAAGATGCCCGTCCCCGATTCCAAGTGTGAGTCGAGGCGAGATCCGACACGGGCCGAGGAGCTCCGACTCTTCGCGGTCGATGCGCCGGCGCGAGGAGTCGGAGACTCGCCGGGTCGCCTCTTTCGTCTCTCTCGGATCTCGAGAGGGACCGGACGGTGGATCTCTCGGCGGGGGATTTCCTCGCCGGGATCGAATCCGAGTCCGGACGGAAAAGTAGTTCCCCTCTGAGATCTCCAGGCGGTGTCGTTCGTGTCGACGGGTCGCAACGGTCGTGCCGTTGCGGTAACACGGTCCGCTTTCGAGCGGGAATCGTTCGTCGGTCCTCTCGCGTACCTTCCCGATGGGGAAGGATCCGCTCTCGGTGAGCCGATATCGATGGCATATGGAAGGAACGCCCTCGAATCGGTAAGAGACACGCGACAACAGACGAATCGAGCGACGGAGGAGAAACGGGGCAGGTCGGAGGGATTTCCATATCGACTTTCGTCTCCCGACTCGTCGTTCGACGCGTGGCAAAGGCGTAGATGTTTTTCGTTTGAGACGAGCCGAATCGGACGCGATTCGTGACGGAAGAGAACGAAATCGATGCCCTGACGCACCTCAAAAGACTCTAAATAAAAAATGCTACGATCGTGTCCCACGATCCGGGAGAACTCGTCGGACTCTCTTCGTCGATCGAGTCATTTCGGGGGGGGATCGTGGTGGTTCGAGGCGAGGGAGGATCGGGGCTACGTGAGTTTGGGAGCATTTCCCTTTCGTCCATTGGCTGAGGCATTCACGGCCCGATCTGACCGATCACGAGGAAATCCACCCTCACGGTCATAAAGAAATGGAACTTGCGGTTCGAGCGGGGATTCCGTTTTACACCGAATTCCCGGAGATGGATATGGATATGGATATGGATTTGAATTTCGGGTGCTGAGGAACTCCGACGAAATCCATGGTAATTTTACCATTCCCTTGGCTCGGTTGCCGCTTCCGTTTCCACGTTTCCCCTCGTAGTGTCGACCCTCCTGAAAGTCGGAAATCGATTCTCGTCGATTCCTCGGTCTCGGAGGCGAAGAGAAGAAAAGAAAGGCCACGGAATGGAATCCTCCAGTAGCTTTTTCGCGTCGAAGACCGGAGTAGGAGATCGAAACCTCTTTATTTTCGCGACTAACGAAGCGAAGGGAAATCGTATACTTTGGCGAGTTTTCGGTGTGCCTCTTCCCTGGCATCACCCCCGACCTCGTGGCCCTCGCGTGGGTCACGCGTCGCTCGACGCCTTTCGCGCGTGACGAACGCTGCCGGACGCGAGGACGAACGGATTCCGACTGATCGATTTCCGTTTCGCGCAGCCGGTCCGGGCTTGGGGAAGAGGAAACGGCGCATGAGCATCGTGAACGTGGACGAGATCTCGAAGATGCCCCCCGAAGACGTGACCAACATCGTGAAGGTGAGTGCCTCCGATTCCGTCGAGGTCGATGCCTTCCCCGCCTTTCGTAGTGGCTGCGATCGCAGACGTAAATAGGCTGATCGACCGTCCCGAGTTCCGAGTCTGTCCGGCGTCCCGCAATATAAAAAGGGAAAAAAGAGATAAATCCATATAATTTAGCTTTTCCTGGCCCCTACTCCCCCCCCCCCCCCCCATGCGATCCGTGCATCGATCACCTTCGAGGTTTCCGGTCGGGAATTCCATCGCCACGCGTTCCTCGCATCGGTCGACGCGAGGACATGACGCCATCGAGCAGACGTCGTCGTGCGAGTCGGACGGGCCTTCGACTCGCGTTCGTAGCGAGTCGAAGGCGCGGAAACTCGCCGAGCGATCCGCGGGAAATACGTTGTATTTCCCGCGGTCCCGTGAGAAAACGAACGACTCGACCGCATAGAACAGGAAGCGAACGAACAAACAGAATCATCAAACGCTCGTGTGCTTAGCCGTGCCCAAAATCATTGGATAAATGATGTCGTGCGGTACAAGCCCCTGCACGAACTACATGATATATATGGTATTCATGCCTATCTCTGCCCTTGGGGGTATTTCCCCGAGTTCATGCCACCATGAGCTTAGTTTTCCTCTTTGTTCTTTGTTGCCCCTATCCCGTACGACGATCGGCGGGTCGATTTTCGCTCCTGCAGACGGAGATTCTTTCCTCTGCACGAAGAGAAAATCTCTGTTCGATGCCGTAGCACGATTTAAAGAAATATTCATGGTGCTAAATGCGGTGCAGGGGTGAGCGACCGGTGGAATCGCCGGTGGAGGCGATTCGACTCACGTCGGCGGACGTGGAAGACGCGCCGCCCATCTCGAACGGGGTCGCTTCGAGCGGACAGACCAACATCTGGACGAATCCCATGAGCACCAGCTTCACGTCGCTTCGCATGAAGGTCTGACCGCATCGAGTTTCTGTCTCGCGAATGGAAAAGTGCAGTGCTGACGTCTCCCTCGTCGCGATGCAGGAGTTGAAAGACGCTCAGGCGAACGGAGGGGATAATCAGCCGAAGAAGAAGCGGTTCAGCATGTCGCCGTTTCGGCCCCTGCAGAAGCTCCCGGAGCACATCTCGAAGGAATTGGGCAAGAGGCGGCTGGGGCAAGGGTAATGTGGATTTTGCTTTATTCTCGGGTCGGTTCCGTTTCGTCACTCCCCAGATGACTTTCAAATTTACAGGAAGAACTTGGACGAGAAGAACCTGAAGAATCAGCTGCAGAAGAACAACAACACCAAGAGTCCGGGAAAGTCGGAGGGGAAGACCACAGCTCCTTCGCGACTCTCGTTGGACTTGACAACGGCAACCGTACAGTCGAACAAGGACAAGGGCAAGGACAAGGACAAGGACAAGAAAAAGGCCAATGACAAAGACAAGGACAAGGACAAAAACAAGGATCAGGATAAGGAAAAGGAAAACGAAGATGGAAAGGGTCAGAAAAAGGAAACAAGCAAGGACAATGGAAATGAAGAGGATAAGGAAAAGGGCAAGGGCAAGGACAAGGGAAATGGGAAAATGTCAGCAAGCTTCTTATCTCATATAAAAATTAATTGTCCTCATTAATCGACTAATTCATGATGAAATTTGGTGTGTTCCAGCCCAACCAGGTCAAGCTTCAGAAAGAAGAAGCAAGCATGAAATACGCCGGTGTTCAAGTTCGGGCCTGCAGTATTTCGGCAAAACTGACGTATACCCTCATGTTTTGCGACTTTGCACCCACTGTGAGTCTGTGAAACTTCGGCAAAATAATCCTCAAGGCTGGCTCCTGTGAAGATCAAGCAGTTACCTCGCTCAACGTCTGAATCCGATTCAGTAGAATACCCTGGCTGTGATACCAAGCCTTGTATTTCACATCTCTCTCGTTCGATCCAATGCAGTTCGACACATCTTTATCTTTCACCTCTCACTTGGCATCTCGAAACTGTGATAGAAAACAAATACATATTCATGATTGAAGTTTCATTTTTCAGAAGGAACAATAAGCACTTCAATAAAGGGTTCATTGTCACGAAAATGCCTCAGAGTCTTTTTTTTCCTGCAAAAACAAACCAAAATTTGAGCAAATTCAGGTACTTCTTCAACAACCCACACACAGCCACACATTTAAGATTGCACAGAAAATACTCAAGACATGAATGAAGCCTCTGCAGAATTGGCATTTTTGTTTCCTGAGTTGGCACATATAAAATTTGTGCTGAAATTGTGCGAATTTGAATCGATCACCCTCGCCAGAAATCATTCCCTTAATCGTCGATCCGTCGTCCTCGATCCTTAGTCCATACTTTTCACAAAGTTCCCATCAAAGTTCCTTTGTGCATGGCACCATCACAAATACTGTAATGCTTCCAAACATCACAATTTGAGATGCCCTGGTCCAAGGCATGCAAGAAACCACTCGTCTGGGAATATCACAGAAATGCCACCCGTTGGAGGATGTAAAAAACAGCTGAGTTTGCGGGGGAAAAAAATGGCTCCCCGCGCATCAGTAGAGATCGTCGGAGGAAGGCTGGAGTGGTAACCGTAGATGGGCGGTGGCAGAAGTGTGCGAGTGAGAGTTTCTTTTGTTGATCGTCGCCGTATCGTACTCCTTCATCGGGAACTCGGTGTAACTCCCGGTGCGCTTCAGCCGCATCTCCGGCGTCACCGTCACGTAGTGGTTGGGCGTGGCTTTGCATTGGCTCGAACCGCCCGTCGAGGACATGTACAAGGGAGAACTGACGAGAGCAAGGGAAGGCTTGCGCCTCTTCAGGAACCAGAGGAGAAACAGGGCGGCAAGGATCGTGCCGACGAAGAAAGAGATGATGCATGCTGCTATAAGAGGTCCTGCTGCCAATTCACTTCCACTGCCTGCCGTGCTCTTGCTTCTCACTGCATCTGTGGCATCAAATATCACCCGTATTCAAGGTTTATTCAATTTTCCATCCAAGAGCATGGAAGCACACATATATAATACATTAAATCAATGAAATCATACAGTAGAAGTGCAAATAGTAAAAAAAAAATGGAGGGAGAGTGGGGGAGGGAGGGATGTAGCAATATCTCACCTCTACAAGTAGCTCTAGAGCAGGGCCTGGTTTGGTTGGTGGGGAGAGAGGAATCACAGTTTCCAAGACAGATCCGCCACCGTATCTCCTGTCCCTCTTCGCAAGTCCCGATGCAGCGAGACCACTCCGACCAGGATGACCATCCTGCATCTCTAAGCCCTTTGCTCGGTTCGCCAGCATCACACTGGTTGCAGTAGCGATCCTCCCGATGGACATCAGATATTTCGAGGGAGTCGGGTGATGGGAGCGGGGCCGAGCAGGAGAGGCGAAACCGGCGTTCCAGATTCGGTGCAACAAGTCCCCATTCTGTCCATGGACTCTCCTGGCAACAAGTTAGTCCATGTTAAAATTACTCAATAATTTTCTAATTTGGTAGCCACAAAGCTTAATATTTTGATTCAACTGATTCCACCACATCCTATTTTTCTAATGTGATTGTTCCCAATTTCTTTTAGAAATACTTCTTTCTTTGAAAAAGAAAAAGCTCCCATTCAAGGATGTGCCTGTTAGTGCAAAGCTTTCATATACACTTGTGGGAATACTATTGCTTCAAACTTTGCAAAGTTTCAATTCAATCACAAATATTATTGACTAATTTATTTTAGAAAACTTCCTTCTAAAGCCTACTTCTCATAAAATAAGTTTGAAATCCATCATTTTAAACTTTATCAGAAAAATTATTCCCTTTTTGCTGTAAAACGTTCTTCCATGGAAAAAAGAAGTCATTGCAATTTACTGTCACCATCATATACCAGAACAGCAGGAAAGCATTCACAATGACAACATAACATACCAGTATTGATTTACTGAAAATGATATGATTGAACTGATGATAGTATGGCATCTTTATACTAACTCCTTTCATTTCAAAATGTATATGAGGAATAAAGTAGAAATGCAGTCCGTACTATTCGGTACAACCTTCGTCTCATACCTTCGAGATGATAGGGCACGGTTGGGTGTTGCACAACTGATATTGGGTGTCACACCCAGGGCAGAAGACCTCACTGCCGTCCAGTAACGGATTGTGGAGCCGACGGCAGGAGCGTGTCCGCATCTGGAACCCTCCTCCGCATGGGTGTGAACATGGTGTAAACTCACCCCACTCGCTCCAAGCCCCCTCTCGGTATGACAGTGCTGCACGAAGAAAGAAGCACCATCATCAATGACAACCCAATCGATTGCATCAATCGCTGTTATGAGAATCACAATTCTCTTTCATTACATATACAGAATTGCTCATCAGGGTAAGTGTGTTGATGTGATTCCACTTTATCTTCATTTTAAGCACTGAAGGCTACAAATAGAAGCTTTCAATCTTTCAAAAGTACCAGCACATGAACCGATTTTCCAGAAAACTTTCAATTCCACTAAAAGGATATCAGAATAGGAAGGGACTCGCACTTGGACAAGGGGGATTGTCAGTGCACATGGCCTCTTCGGTGTCCTTGCCCTCGCATGCCTTCCCCCCGAAGCGAGGCTGGGGATTCGTGCACGTCCGTCTCCTCCATTTCAGAGCAAAGCCACACGATGCACTGCACGCTGACCAAGCCGACCAGTCCGTCCAGCCACCATCCACAGTGCAATTCGTCACCTGGTCACAATTAAAAATTAAAATAGATAAGTATAGTTATTCAGAGCAATTGCATTGGCATACAAGGCTATGCTTCATTATAAATAGTGATGAATTGAATATAAATACCAGGGTTAAAAGTAAAAAAAAAAAGTCATGCAGATTACTGCAACTCCACAGAAGAAATGCATGGCGACAATGCTGAGTCATGTTATAAATAAAAAAGTAAATTTACACCATCCATTGCTGATTCTTTTCAAAATGAAGCATGTGGGGCAAAAATGAAAAGTAATTCTACTTAGACTAAATAAAAACCCAAACGGAAGATGAATAAATTCTCACCCATTTTCGTTACCACCTGAGATTTCATGAAATGAGAACAATTCGGAACACTGAGGTTACCTGAGCGCTCTCTCCGCTGCAGGACCGTCCTCCATTGACCGGAGTGGGTCGACTGCAGTCTCGCACCCGACAGAGGCACTTTCGTGGCTCGTCCGACGCTCGAAACGGATGGAAGATGGACGCATGACTCTCGCCCTCCTCCATGCGACTGCACGGCTCCCAGGGACTCCACTTGGACCAGCCTCCGTCCACGGGCAGGGCATCGGATCGAGGACAGCGCTTGGGAGGGTTCTGTTCCCAAAAGGGGGCCGAGGGGTCTCCATCCGGCGGCGGAGCGCATTCTTGCCTCTCCAGGTCCCACCCACAGTAAGGATCGGAGGCGGCGAGGCAGGATTCTTCCGTTCTCCAGCGGTGGCAGCGATGCGCCGGGATCCGAAGCACTTGTCGCGCAGTCCCCACGTAAAATGATGCCTAAGCAAACAATTTTAGTTCTCGTTTGAATTCACCATTTGTTGCACTCACACTCGATCAGGCGCCGAGTTGAACCAATACATTATGCAAGCAGGCCAGATATGTTGGACTTGGGATAGAATGTTATTTTATCGTAATAAAAAATCCCAGAGAAATTCAGAAGGAACTTCGAGAAAAGACTGACCTTGTGAAGATGTATTGCAAAGGGAAATTATATGGAACTCACAAGAACGCTAAAGTTACTATTAAATATGATTTGATACTATCACAACTGCTATATATTGCGTTGCGCACTGAATTATTATTAGCAATGAATGCGATTGCAGTCATTACAATTGAAAATGTTTCACTCAGGCATGTTATTGCAATAGTAAAAGTAATGGAAAACAATCATATTGCAACAGAAACCCTATAAAATTGAAACCAAGAGTTATTATTGGATTAATACTACAATGATAATGGTTCCAGATAAATTGTCTTTCGATGGAAATAGATTTATCACGAAGTCGATTCCGACTGGAGGCGACAACGACGTGAAGTCCGCACGATTCAATTCGTCAAGATGGGAACCCCTCCTAGGTGTGAATAGGACGGTCGAGTGACGGCCCCATTACTCATTTCGCCTCCTACGCACGTTTATAGTCGTGTCCAACTCTCGAAAACTCTCCTTGAGAACCGGTCCGTCGAACCTTCGCCTCGATGATTATCTCTTCAGAAATCTGAGATTACTTGGGATTCTGGCGAGGGAAACGTTTTGGGAAAAGGAAAGTAGAGAAGGAAAGGCCCAAATCGGCTTCGACGAGCGCTACGCCTGTCCGATGACCTCTTAACCCGTTCGCGTACCTAACCGTCCTCGAGACGGCCTCAGTAGAAGTGTCCAGCCCGTACCTAACCGCTTGGTCGTTAGATGGCATGATATGCCTTATTTTAGGTTCTAGTAGGCTCTTTTAGGTTTAGTGCGCAACGAGGAGTTTTTTTGCAAATTAAATGGTATTTCACAGCAACTCTTAGTAAGAAAAAAATGGTATGCGAATGGGTTAATCCCGGTGCCCAGGCTTCTCGACATTAGGATTTATATATCTATCATTCAATAAATATTCATTGGAGCGGAAAATCCAGTTTTCAATAAGTGTAGACACGCGTGATCTAGTTCGAAAGGAGAAACCTCTAATAACAGATGTTTACAATGAATCATTATGCTTAGGTCCTGGGCAAGAGTTGGCATCTAAGTTTCCGAAGAAATTCAATCGGAATCACTTCCTCTTTCTTCCTCCGAGAAACTGAAATTAATTTGGACCAATGAGATCATGCTGACTTTTGTGTTCTCGCGTCCCATTCTCGGATACCCTTCCTGTTGGGTCTCCGAGAAATGCGTATGTTTCACCGTCTCACACCGCGGCGAAATCCGATGCAATCGAGGCGATTCACGAGCGAGCTCTCGAACTGGCCGTCGGTGACGACTTCACGTCATACGAGAATGCTTCGCTCTCTCGTCGACTTCTCCTTCCGTCAAGGATCGATCCAAGCCTCCCGGTATCCGAACCGATCCGGTAGTCCTTGCGGGTTCGCACGTCCGACCGCTCGACTCCCGACTTTTCTTCGCATCTTTTCCCTCCTAAAAACCTTCGTTTCTCTTTCCCCTTCCCTCTTCGACGCGGGCAAGCGATGCGCCGATCACCGCGTTCCCCGATCGACCGAAAATAACCCGGACGGATCGACGTTCGCGCGTCCCCGACCCATGCACTCACCGTCTCGGGCAGCACGTGCAGGAAGGAGAGGACCTGCCGATCGGCTCGGGACGGGAACAGCTGAAGCGTCTCGATGAGGCACGGCTCCCCCTTCGCCGGCAGGGAAACCTTCCGGATCTCCCCCTCCGCCGATCCCACGTACAGCACCGTCACTCCGTCCGGGCTCTTCGTCCTCACCCGGTCCAGTCCCAATCGCTGCCACCTGCAATCGACGAATGGCGAGTGATCGTCATCGAAGAAGAAGCAGAAGGGCGTCCGCGACGGATCGCCACGTGAACCACATCCGGTAAGTAACGGCATGAAAAAAACGCAATTAAATTAAAAACTAACAGTTCCATGAGAACAATCATCAAATTAAAGAGTTCCGAATCACCATCCCCCTTCCACATAAAGTCCCTGAATCTCCCGATAGCTGATGAACTTGTTAGAGTCGATACTTGTGACTCGGGAGGTACAAAAAACTAGAGCTGAACGGGACGAAATAAAGCAACAGCGCATCCATGAGTCATGGGTTACATGTTTCAAGTCTGACAACAGATTCTACGAGGAAACCTCGTGAACTTTGGCTTCATGAGACCGGGCAGATCGACTCGAGTAATCCGAAATTCGAATAACGAGACATTTCCTCTTCCCCCCACCCCCCAAGAAAAAAGTGTTGGTCTCGGAGAGCAACCGGTGGGTGGTTCTCCCAGTTCTCCCATCCTCAGGGAACATCCTCGCCCGACTTCACGGCGCGAGAGCCCAACGTCTACTCGTGGAAATTCATCCGAAGAGGAAACGAAATGACAGGCGGAGAACGCATGGGAGCTCTCCTCTCATCCTTCAACCTCACAGTGAAGAAAGACAAAAGAAGGGGAGAATTTTGCCCTGCGTGCCCGGCAGAACAGGTTTCTTCTTTTACCCTATTCAGGAAATCGATAAGCCCACGAGAAACCTGGTTCCAAGATTTTTTTTCTTCAAGAGTTGCTATCTCGAACCATGAGTTCGCTGAAAAAAATACCAACCGGGAAATGGAAATGTGACTCGATTATCAGGATGTTTCAGACAAGCTAATTCCAATAAAATATTTTTAAAAAATTGGATGGTCTCATTTGTGACATGCCTGGGTCATGCTTTGAACTTCGAGGAGAGCGAAATTTCGACACATCAGAAATGAACTGTAAGAATTTTCCTCCGTGACTCCATGGGATATTTCACAGTTTCATAAATAGACCTAGGCACGCTTTGCAAACGTGATGCCCAGTAATATATTCACGTAAATCAGGTTCTACCGATCGACAAGCCTTTAAATTAATCAATAGGTAAAGGCAAACGGCATAAAGCAATCCACGAGACGAGTGGGCGCTATCGAAACAATAACCCAATTTGATGAGTTAAACAAGTTTCAACGCATGCTATTACCCGTTGATCGACGATCCCCAGATAAAAATCATTATTTTTACGGCCTCCCCCTCAAAGGCGGCCGAACGAAAGAAGCCCCTCGCAATAAGTCGTCCACACGCCCACGACACCGGCACCATACCGTTGCATGTGTTGGAAGAGCAGCGGCCTCCCGTCCCTCGGCTGCACCGCGTCGGCCAGGAGCTGGTATCGCTCCGCCTGGAGCTCGTTGGCCCGGCAGTCGTCGTCCGGTCCCGTTCCCGTCCGGTCCACGCGGGTCCACATCGCGTTGTGGAACGGCTGCGACTGGAAATCCCCTCGGAACGCGTCCTCCACGTCCGCCATCCGGAACGCGCACACCGCGGAGCCGGGAATGCTGTTCCTGCACGGCACCAGAGAATCGTTTGTAGAATGCGAATCGTGCGAACGATCGCACGAAATGAGATTTAGACGAATGCCGAATCGAGATCGATCGTAGATTGAATCGCGAAAGAGAAACCGATAGATACGCGGCATAAGTGGAGCCGATGCTCGGTTCGCCCGAGCCGACTCGCACGAAACAGCCATCGCAGATCCAAAAATCCCCCCTTAGCGATAACGAAACCTCACGACGCGAGAACCCCTCGTCACTGACTCTGGCGTGGAGAAGAGCGCATAGAGGACGTTCTCCCTCGCATCGAACGCAGCCGACACGACATCCGGGAACACGAAGGGCACTCGCCCGGGCAGCGAGCAGTTCAGCAGCGCCTTCCGGAACGACGTCCAATTGTCCTGGAGCATGAGCTTCCCGCCCGTGTCTCGCTTGCACACTCGCGCGATCCGAGACTGCCGGGACTGCTGAAAGAGAACAAAACCATTTACACGCATCGCATCGGGCTAAAACGTCGCAATCCGTCGATACGCGCTTCCGTATCGTCAGAAGCCTAACGCCGCGAACGACGAAGGTGCACTAAAACGGTATCAAGGTCCATCACTACGAGGAGAGTTAAGGATTCTTCCTCCAAGGCATTAAAACGATCCAAGAGAATATTTTCAAAGATCATCGCAAACTCGTTGGACCCGAAGGGATGGTTCGTGACGGTCGCACATCTTGGGTAGAAAAGTCTGAGCTATCGTTCGATACAAATACACCCAGCAGATCCATTAATATTCCTCAGTGGCACAACTAGGGGAGGGAGGGAGAAGGGGGGAGGGGGCTGCTGAATCTGAACCGCCTGCGAAAATAAACACATCGCCAAAGAAAAGCAATAGCAAGAAGAAATAGAGTGACCTCGAAATTTAAGATACAAGCAGTGAATCATGAAATCGAGTATGAAAGGCGTAGGATGCATATTCGCGGAGAAAACGAGCCACACACTCTAATTCAAAATGGGCTCGACCCCTGCTAATTTCTTTTTTTGTGTGTTAAGCGTATGTTTATGCCATTCGTACTGTTTATAAATAAAATAAAAGGTGAGGAAAACGAGAAGCATGCCAACGAAGCGCATCCCCTACCTGCGCGCAATTCTGGAACTCCAAGGCATCCTCCCTGAAGAGGAAGTAGACGTGGTGGTCCGTCTCGAAGGAATAGACGAAGTCCGGCTCGCTCAGCCACTTGGGGTTGTACTGCTTGGTCCGGAGCATCCGGTCGCCCCCCATCATGCGATAGATGGCCGCGTCCTGCCCGGCGAAGTCCACCGGCGTCCCCGAGTACAGCTCCCCCGTCGACGTCATCAGGGACGTGACGTTGGATCGCGGGCCGTGCGGGGCCTTCCCGACCCCGTCGACTTCCTCCAGGACCGTCCCCACTCCTTCCAGCTGCAATCAGACGTCTCGTTATTTACTCGGTAAATGGGCCGTCCGCAACACTATTTACCGATAGATAAAGGGACTCGACGATATCGTCGTGCTCTGATATTGAAATTAATGCAGGCTCACGACTTCGAACACGGCACATGGCCTCGTACGACTACAAAAGATTACAATTTCTAGCAAATTTAGATACGAGGGACCGGAAATGGTTAAAAGGCTATCGCGTGATGATCATCGACCTGCAGCACGGACCCGCGTTAGAAATACTATTGCAGCCCTCACACAGATGGCATCACTTCGGAGAGTGTCTATCAATCCATTAAACTGCTTCTTTCTACGAACGAAATGCACCATAAAGTCATTAACGAAACCGCGCGCACCACGTTGCCACATGGCACCCATGTGGTATCATACGAGCCAGATTCTATGGGAAACTTATCTTCCTCGAAACGTCATGTATCGAGGTGATGCCATCGGTGCGGGGGCCGCGATATCGTCGCGGACCGGAACTCCATGTCGGGACCGTCGAGACATGTTAATGGCTTCCGGTGAAACTCATATCCCCCCACCCTGCAGTCCTCACCTTCCTCCACGAGCAAGACGGCGCAAACGCATTGGTCCCGCAGGCGAAGAGTTTCTTGCCGTGCAGCAGCAGGACCCTGAGGAAGTTGTTGCAGTCCTCCCCCGTCTGGCCCTTCCGCGTGCAAAGCTCTCGTCCCTCCTCCGACGGCGAGAGGTCCGCTTCCTCCAGCTTCGTCAGCCCCTCCAGGGTGAGACGCAGCAACCGATTCCTGTTCGGGAAAATCCAACGGGCCTTTCTGCATTCACGGCATCTTTTTTTCTCTCGTTTCGACGGGAGGGAGGAAGCGGAAAGTAGGAAGGAAGTGAGATCTGAGGTCATTCTATTTGCTCCGGCACACCTGGCCGGATCAGGATGGTATACGGTTTATCACTCGAAAGAGACGCAGTAGTAAGCTGGAGTCCGATAAGCTGTCCAAACAAGGGAGCCCCAAATGTACGGTAAGTAGAAGAGCCGAGATCTCTCTCCGGAACGATATTTCCTTCGAACGATATTCATTAGGGCCGGGCGAGCACAGAAACGGGACCTCTCCTCTGACGTAATCGATAATGAGGACTGGTTTTTTTTTCCACCTCGGATGGAAACCTTGTGCAAGAGCCAACCGAAGGCACTGAGAGATCTCATTCTGGACCCTGTCCTCTCCCGTCGGATAATGGGGATGGAAGATAAGGAATCGGGACGCTTATTCCTCTCATCATGTCACGCCACTCCAACTTCGACGATACATTTTTGTACGAGGGACCCACATAGCTAGCACTCGATCGGAAAAGAGGGCACGAGAGGCGAAGGCGACGGAACGGTACGTGGGATCCGTCGTCTGCTACGCTCGCGATGACGTCCGACCGATTCTTCATCCCCGACTTTAGTCCTCGTAACGTCGTGCTCTCCTCGCTCGGTATCAAACACGAATCGTATTTGACATCATCTCCGTTTTCGCGGATGAGGGCGAGCTAACGATTTCTCAGTTAGACTTTCGAGTTCGCGAGGATAGTAGATAAATCGGTGATACCTGGCACCGACGATAACTTGAAACCGGGTGGGATCGAAGACCAACGGTCCGTAGTCGGTGATCCCCGGCTCGCTGAACCGATCCACGTCCACCATCAGCTCTGCAAACGAGACGAGCAAAGAATTTAAATACCGAGTCGCAGGGGGTCGGGTGAGGCAATCCTTCTCGCTTCTCTTCGCCGTGACGCTGCATCGACTGACTTCGACGAACGGAAGGAAACACCGATCGCATCGGATGCACGTAGGAGTAGACACGAGGAAGCGACTCACCGTCGTAGGAGACGTATCTGGGGTCCGGGACGGAGGCGACGAGGCCCAGGCAATTTACGAATAATACGAGACGCAACTGCATGATTTTCCTCCCGTCGATCTCTCACCTGGAACACAGAAAAAATTCCATCTTGAGGACTTTCTCCGCCGGGAAAGATTTTCTCTCGTTGAGCACCATTAAAATGCGCGGCGCGTGGGGCGGACGATTATTCACCCGTAAGAAAGGAGACCCCCCTTGTGACACCTTTCTTCCTATCTCTCCTAACAGGATCGGACGGAAGAGGAGTGTTCGTATCGTGATGCGGAGGGCCGTATCGTGAGAGATCCTCGGTCGAGAATGCACGGGGAAAGGCGTCAGACGGTGCGAGTCACGAATCCCAGTCTGCGTGGGTCACACTCTCGGCGCCGCACGTTCATCGCCTCTGGGGACCCGAGGATGGTCCCCCGTGGAAGCGGGGTCAGAGGTCAAAAGTCCACATCGATAGAGGCGTGTCCGATTTCGTCTCGCATCCCCGATTGAAAAGACGTTCGGCCGACGAACTCGTCCTTTTCCCCTCGTCCTCGAGACGCGGATGGCGAAATCCCATTCGGTAATATTTGTGACCGGCTTGGGGATTCCGGTCACGTCCGGGACCGGGGTAAGGGGAACAATCATCATTACTACATGCTGATCACAAACTGGGACGCGGGTGATATCGAAGGAATCCCAATGAGTCTTCGCACCACGGTCACACCTGGCCCGCCGTTCACTTTCTCCGACGGGATAAAGTGCTCGGAAGAGCGAAAAAAATTGGCACTGGTCAGCGAATGCAAGGAGAGAAGCCGTGGCTGCTGGCCACATGTCCCGAGACGCATCTGTTTTCCTACTCATTTTTCTCTTCTTTCCTCCTGAGCGGATAACATAAGAGATCGTTCTTTCTGGAAATCCCCCCTTCCTTCGCGTTCGAAAACACGTGGGGCTGGCTGGCATGCCTACGGTATGGGATCTCTGTAGGCATGCACATGTGACGGCGAGACCCCCTCTGTGCCACTTTAGTGAGATCCATCTTCCCATAATCTTCGTTCTTCCCCCACCGGGAGGAAAATACGGCTCACAAAACGACGATCGGAAGCGCGTTCGCTCCGTCTGAAACCGTCACGAAAGCGGAAGAAGGGAATGAAATCGTCGCGAAATAAACACCAGGTGCGAGTCGGTCTTTTGCGATGAGAATGAATCGAATAGAAAGTTACCTATCACGCAGAGTGATGAGAAACAAATATGCACCAGGTGATAATGGATCGAATATTCATTTCAACTGGGTTTTCTGGGATTCCGTGCGGATAGGATTTGTTTGTTTGTTTGTTTCTTTCCCCCCAAGCCCTAACCTGTAAACGATGGTCAGAAAAGAGTCCGCCCGAATCGGCTGGTCATTTCACGGCAGATCGGGCTCACGTCGGGAGGAAGGGGGGACCGAGTGCGTCCTCGGGCTCCTCAATGGCGAGGGCGAGCGGATGGGGTCCATTCCTCATTCACCGAATTGGGAATGGGGGCGTATTTTCCACAGGGGACAGGAAGTGAGGATGAAGAAGTCGCTCCGACCCTAGCACTGTTTGCGGTTTTTCCTTCCTTTGCATGGCCCTCCCCTTGCAAATATTCCGCTTCTCCGACTCGGGGTCCAGGCTTCTCGTCGTTCACCTCTGACACTGCCCCATCTCTTGACCTCGACCGCCCCCAATTGCCATTCGTTTCGGAGAATTTCACGGTAAGCCTAAGAAAAACCTGGACCAGGCAACGACTTCGGCTCGGGGCGTCGGTTCCTCCCGATCCACCCGTCTCCTCTATTCCTTTGAAGGGAATCCACCTGTTCGAACGAGGGGACGGGAAGGTGATTGGCCTCCGGGTGCGAGAAGAAAAAGAAGAACTGGACTGGACCTCCCCCTCCCTTCGTGTAAACAACCGCCTCGGGTGTCAGGCTACCACTAAATAACCCGGGTGTCTCCTGTCCCCCTCTTCGAGGCCCTCATCCTGTCCTCGTCCGTCCACGATTCCGCACCTTCTCGGCGCATTTGTCGCGCACGAGAGAAAATTCATCACGGAGTGAGAAAACAATGAGCTTTGCGAAACCTTAGGGATTGTGACGGTTTACGTTCTTCCCTCCGGATCGAGCACATCGAATGCTTCTCGCGGAGGAAAAATATCCCCGGTTTATCTCTCTCCTCTCGGCAAGCAAAATTTGTCGTGATATTTACCCCTTCTGCAATCGCCTGCGTTATCTCGCAACCTATCGCTGCAGCTACACCTCAGCTTATTCTTCAGCACGTTCACTATATGAACAAGGGAAGCGTTGAACGAACGTGAATTGCAAATTCTAACACTTCTCTCCAAAAGCCCTCGATGATATGCAGGATTCACCCATTTTAAGTGCTGTGCCGATAATGACCTTGGGGCGAAAGGGTCATTATCCAGGAGCCTGGTTCCTCCATGGGCAATCAAGTATCATCATTCTCCCTTTTCGCCAATTACCACTCGAAAGAGCGAAAGGCAGACAAAAGACGCCAGCCGAGGCTAAACGCCGGGTAGGGCTATCTCTAGTTGCCAACCAGTCCTTTGACGACATGATTCAAACGAGTTAGGTGATAGCTAATGGGCGGATTGACACGTGTGAAGGTCGAATCTGGGTATCGTTTGTTTATTTTTAAGGGGATAGAAAAAATAAAATTCCTCACCAACAGGATCCCAGCATGAAGGCCAGCCGGCAGGCAAGCATGTATATACGCACGTCAAGTTACGGGACAGTTGTATAATAAACGAGGACGTGATGAGACGAAAACAATGGAAGCAACGTCCTTGACAATGACCACGAGAAGAATTTGACCATCCAGACCGATGGTCAATCACATACACTGCACGTGCCTGGCCTACGCTGAAGACAGGTGTCAGGACTACGGGCTCACGGAGAAGCAAGCGAGAGGCCTCTTGCCCGCGGCGTCTGCTCACCGACTGCGCCTCTTTTCTTCTCTCCTCACCCCGCCGGCGACGCAGTAGAGACCTAACCAGGCCCCAACTCTCCCGCGGAGCCGATGCCATACCGGAATCCGATTCCGCTTTGCGGAACTACTGGCGCCTGTGCTCCTGTCATCCGTTCTTCATCATCAGTAGAAGCCCCGTGGTTTTGTCAGTCATTGCCTTTTATTAGGACCGACAGTGTCTCCGGATTAACCATTTAACCCCCGTTTAACCGTTGTTTAACCGTTATTTAACGCACGTTAACACGTGCACCAATACTTTTCCATGATCCCTATTGTCGACTTGACAGTCGAGACCATAAACCGTAGACTCGCTCGGGATGGGATGTCGCTCCATGGGCTTCGTTCGCAAGTATATCCCTTCGCAATTAGTGATTCGAGCAATCAATGTCTCTCGAGCACCGTTGACGACTGTTCCTTGGTAAGCGGTGAAGTCAATCCGAAAACAATATACAGTGATTTGCAGGTCCTTGAGAAGCGAGTGGTGAAGGCAAATAGAATGCTGAGCTGGAAGATCAGGAACATTGAGGCATGACAGGAAAGTAAAGAGAATAAGAAAGGAAAGGAGGCTGAGGGAACAGCAACAAAGAGGAGGGGGAAAAAATTGGAAAAAATCCAAACAGAGATGACACGAACACAAATCGAATACCTGCAGAATATAATGGTTTTAGTGGAGAAAGGCCAACGACTATTAACCCACTTCTACTGGAGTTGTTTTCACAAAACATTCGTTATGTACAGGGTGGACCAACAAAAAATAAACAAAGCTCTCATTTTTGGCGAGTTGTCAATCTGATAGTAGGCTGCCGATTCTGATGAAATTTGGTAGACGTATAGGATGACACAATTGGAGCTTGTGTGCCGAATATCAGCCTTCTGGCTCTAAAATTATAGGAGCTGTGCTTATTTTCTGATAACCCACGACAAAATTCGCAGTCGAAAATATCTATTGAACTTGAGGTCTGTTTTCTTGGAATACAAGATCGCCCGCTGCGATAAGCTAAGTAGGCCTTAGCCTAGCTAGGCTAAGTTAAGGTCAACCAATTTCCAATAAATACATTTAAGAAAAGCCTAGGTTAGTTCGCCAAATATTAAGCGGGAATTCAAATTTTCTTATAAAAAAAAAAGGTTTAGTTTTCTTTCCTTGTGTTTCAGCTGAAAGTGCATGATCTTGCAAAAGTGACGAAAATTTTTCTATTTTGAAAAACTTGCGACTTGAAAAAGGATATGGTGCCAGGAAAGCTAGGGATTTTCAAACAAATATTGGTCAAGGATTCTCTTGAATATGTCATCCGAAAATTTGATTAATCTGGTGGCGAAATTTTAGGTTTAAATTTAAAAAATGAACTTTTTTTGTGATCTAAAGTAAATTAAATACGATTCTCACCATTTTTGACTTTTTGATTTTAAATTTGGCGTACAAATCCGAATTGAGTCACCTTATATGTCTACCAAATTTAATCTGAATCGGCAGTCTACAATCTGATTGCCAACTCAACAAAAATGGCTGCTATTTTGGCCCCCCTGTTTATATCATACGAATATCCAAAGACATTTGATATTCATTGGGCTGGTGTCTTCTGGGAGATGGTTTTCATGCGATTTTTTTCAAGTAATGGCCGATGAATGGATAATTGTTAATGCACAGAGTCTGCTCATAGTTTATTAATATTTTCTCGCGGTTAGTGAGGTTGGAGAGCGAGGCATTTGGAATCTAAAATTACGTTACAAAGTTTCCCGTCCATTTTCCATTTCCGATTTTTTTTTTCAATATTGTCTTCTCTTGCTTCAGGTAAACCAATTTTGACGAAATATCACATGTTTGTTGGGAACATATTCATTCACAGTGCAAGTTTTGCAGAAATTGTTAAACAGAGAGGAAACGTATATTGGTCTAGGTTTAAATCATTGTTCTTTTTTTTTTGCAGTGGCGGATACAGAAAAATTATTCATAGGGGAACACTTCCCTAGTCCCCCCCCCCTACCGCCCCACTAATTTCCGCCCTCCACCCTATCGCCTTTTCATTTTTCATCCGCGGTAAACATGGAGAACCATATCACAGGCTACAAACGAAATATATTTAAATATTTTTTGTATTAAAAAGTAGATTGTGATCCTGGTCATGTGGGGGGGGGGGGGGGGGGGGACCCTGCCATGAGGAAATTCAGCGAAAATTTGACAATAATACAAGTGGAGAAACTCGACATATGGCAACTAACCATTTCCTTTCTTTCTTCTTGACCCTAGGTGACCCAACCAAAGCCCCGCATTGACCCAAGAGTGGGCCACGACCCGCTGGCTAGGAACCTCTGGTCTAATTGCTCCCTCAGAAAAATGAAAACGGATAAATGCAGCAGTGTTTTATAGCCTCAAAAGTGGAACGTTGGCAGCGATGACATTTTATACATGTTTTCAGCCTTGAATAATCCTATTCCAGAAATGCGTCGCCATGATTTACTTTTAGGCTCTTACATTTGCTACTTCGACCATGTCATCTGTCAACCTTTTGCAATCAAAATTTTCAAGAAATATCCCGCATTCGATTTCTCATTTGACTTTGATGTAATTCAGGCATCGCCGAACTCCGACTACAAAGCGAGTGCAGATTCTGGGAATAGCAAACCTGCTGCTGAATGAATGTCATTACTCGATCAGATTCTATGAGATCAAATGATCTTGGAACTTACGACCGAGAGGGTCCACTTCGATCCTCGGGCTTTGCTCCGTGACGAGTTTCTCTCCCCGATTCCTTCTCGCTATGTCCGAATCCTGCCAAAGAATTTTCATGAAGGGAGTGAGGTGATCATGAGAAAAAAAATCATTCAAATATCGAGTTGACTCTCTTGAGAATCTCTTGCGCCTTGTTGCACTCAATATTTCCATCTTTGTCTTTTCCATGAGGATTTTCACACAAGCGTCATTCTCGTAGTTTTCCTGAAGTCGGACATGAGCTGAAAGTCCATGAAGAGACCAAAATACCCAATCTGTCCGTTACGCTTTATAACTTCGGTTCCAAAGGCATTTCAGAAGAAAACCATCGTGGAGCCTATCTTTGAAGCGAATGAGAGGCTTGTTGGAGGAGATGTTCCTGCTGTTTTCGCTTACCTTCGGTAGTTTCTTTCTTGGTGGCGCCATCAGTTGGTTCCGAATTTCGCGCGTTCCGTTTCCAGAATTCCCTGCGAGTTTCGTCGCAGTTCTTCCTGCAAATAAAGTCGACGATTTTGTCTGCCTCCTGCTCCATGCCCATCTGGCGCAGAGCCTCGCGGAGCGCTCCGAAGGAGGGATGCCGGGCCTCGGTCCTTCTCCACTCGCTGAGGAGGAGGTACATCCTCCTCAGCGGGCTCCTCGGAGGACTCTCGCTCGCTCGCTGGACCCTTCCGAGGGCGTCCTCGTCGAGTCCTAGTTCTCTCCCGAGCTCCTTCCATTTCTCCCAGGTTTTTTGCAGATTTCCCGCCAGGTCCCAAATATCGTTGTCGGAGGGCATCCTGCAAAATTTGAAATAAATTTGCCTCACGCTTTCAGCTTTCATTTCAACAATGCATTTCATGTCAATAAGTCTGATCTTTCACTTCACATTCTCTTTCTCTGAACACTGTTTTTCAGCTGTTTCCGGAATGCTCAAATGAGTTTTAAGCAGATTTTCTCATCTGAGAGATTTTGTTTCTTAATTATTTTGCTTCTTAATAACGTATTAATGAGGGACTATCAAATTCATATTTAATGAGTTCACTTTAGCCCTTTGTTTTCGTCATCAGGATTTACAATTTTTTTTCAAGACTTTTCCCTGAACTTCGAAGATCTAGATTTCATGTTCCCCGACGCTATGAAACTTTACTTCCCCAAAACGTTGCGTCTTAACAAGTTATGTAGGCAAATATCACTTTAATAAGCACCAAGAGCTACCTGTTTTTTTTCAGGCTTCTATCCTGGTGAATCCTGGATTTTATGGATCACGTCGGTTTTTCTCATACATGCAATACATTTCCTCACTGGAGCATAATTAGGATTTCATTGAGCAAATTTGCTGGAGCAATACTTTATTAAAGATTTTGTATGTGTCATAAGTGCATCAAAAGCGAACTGAAATCAAAGGCGCAGGGCAACCCTCTCCTTGACTGGCCCTGAATGCAAACGGGACAGTCACGTTTCGAAGACCACCTTTTATATTTACTGCTATATCCCGGTCCCATAGATTATACTGAACATTTTTTTATANTCGGCTGAGATGCTCACATCTACGAGTATGAGGTCTGGGATGTGGTTCATCCCCCTTCATATCTCCAATACCGGCAGGTGCCGTGGAAGGATTTATATATATATATATATATATATATATATATATATATATTTACATCGTTTTCCATATTGATTTTTTTCTAGGGCTGTACCAATGTATCGGCCGCTGGTTTTGCAAAATCGGCGCCATCGGCCACCGGCCGGTTTGCAAGCTGCCGATGCCGATGTCTAAAGGAGAGGCAAAACCTACAGAAAAACTTACGAACAAAAATTAGAGTGTATGTGTGAACCCGAAAACAATCGATCGGATTATATTTCAGCTCTATTCTAGGTAATGGCGGAGGAAAACAGCGGTAAAAGGTAAATTTCACGAAAAGATCGTGAAATCATAGTCCCTCCTTTTATTATATGCATTTGTTAAGAGATCTGTCGTTAAACGCGCTTAACAGCAGTAATAGGTAACAAGCTAACCTCTGACGGACACAGACGGTTATCGTTATCTTAAGCTTTTTAAATTTAAGATTCAACACTTTGAGCCCTGGCAATTGAAATGCGCTATGGACGAGAGACGTCATATGACGGCTGCAGGACTTGTTTAAGTATTTAAGGTGCGAAATGAAGGAAACGAATTAAGGAAATGGATAAAAATGGGGATAAACCTGATTGTGCAGCAAGGATGGCAGCTGCAGCATAGAGCATACCTAAAATTTAAAAAAACTCTGTCTCCAGTGAGGTTGTGAATCACTTTAAATATGTCCCTAGCTGATAACTGCCAATAATAAATGCAGAGATGTGATAGACCACTTGGTTAGTGACAGCTCAACATAATTGCCTATTTAGTTGTACTTCTTTTCCATGCTTCAGATATAACTGATTTTGGAATTTAGTTTGTTTAAAGCTGGGCAATTAAAAGGCGTGGCACATAGATTGCATCTGAACTATCGCCTTCTTGAACCATTTAAAGAATACCTGCATAATCATGAATAAATATGGAATGAGGAGATTCAGCGACACTCAAATAATAAAAGAATCCAAATATGGATCAGTTGATTTCAATCATGCAATTCAACCAGTTCAGTCGTTGCGGGACTCAGGAGTTCCGCGTTTTCTTCGCATATGTCATAAGGCTACAAAGAGATGCAAGACCTTGCCATGGCGGGATTCTGAGTCCCTGTTTATGGTAGTTCACCACATGTTCTCAGGATGACGGCAGTCCACAGCAGGGCTGGCCAGAGGGGTGGGTGGGAGGGGCCTCGCGTATCATGGGGCCCCAAGGGCTTCCGGTTAAGTTTTGCCCTTGGCCTCTGGAAATCTCTGTGCGGCCCTGGTCCACAGTTATATAAAGTTGCTGCATTTCCTCTAGCACTTCAAAAATGGTGTCACCATTTATATTTGTTTCAGCTAAAACATTTCCCTCTCAGCCAATTTTAGATACGAGGGGAGGTCCAAAAGTTCCTGTTCTGACTATGATAGAAACATCAGAGAGATAAGTTCTTGTCATCTCTTTGTAGGCCTACTCTTAGTATATAAGAAGCCACAACTTCAGATTTTTCCTGTTAGTTGTTGTTTATCTCTAGTCTGCTAAACACGGTTATTCTTGCTATGGACAAATTAGAGTTCAGGGCAGTGATAAAGTTTTTGACCAAAGAGAGTCGGACACCTTCNCCCTCGTATATATTTTTGCAAGCTAGATAATGAAAACAAGTACAGAAAAACTAAAAAGCATAGGGCGTAAAATAGGGATATGAACACTAGATTGAATAGCATTATTTTATTATTTAATTTCTTTAAATAATTGAAATAAATATTAAATTTTACTTAAGGAAACCATTTTAAAAGCACTTTTACGTTACATAAGGCTTGTTGCAGCCCAAAAAGAATATGATACATTCTTTCCATGCCTAAAACATAATTCAGGACTGAAAGGGTTAAACAAATCACAATTAAAATCTTGAATCAATTAAAACAACCCTGAATATTACTATATTCAATAAAGCAAAATGCAGCTGTTTTGTAAATTTATCATTTTTTTGGAATGTGACCAGTGGGGATGGACAAAGCAAAGGCAAGAGAATTGGCATAATTTCTTCTTCTAGAGATTTTATGGCCTAATTGTGACATTCAAGCTATAAAAAGGTGAAGGAAACTGTAATAAAAAAAAAACGGTGTCTTGTAAATAAAGATCTTATGGGCCAATTTCAGTATTTTGAGTGTTTTAGGTTCCCTGAGTACAATCAGCCAGATCTTGGGCAAAGAGGGTGAAAGACTGCCAGTTTGACGCACTATCCATGCCATTTTCTTTGCAACAAATGGGCATAGATCAGTGCTATGAATGGTATAAATTCAACGATCGTTAAAATTAAATTCCAAGATTTTAAGTCAGCAAATGCAAAACCAGCAGTTCTGGAGCAATATATTTTCATTAGCTTTTATTTGCCTTACTTCCTCTGCCATCAGTGACCCTCACTTAAAAGGCTTGCCAGGTTTCAATATAAGGAAAAATCCTTTACAATATATAAAATTGTAAAATGGGAAAAATAACCCTTACTGGGTTATTACCTGGAAAAAAGTTTTGGCTGGAAACTTACTAATTACTTACTTGGAAAATTACTGGTTTTACCTGGTTTGTGATGGACTTTTCTGGCAGGTGGATTGCGTGCAGGAAATCTAACTGGTTCCAATCAGAAATTAGAAGGTAGACATTTTCTGACAGGAAAAGCAGAAATCCAGCAGAATACAGTGTGGGATCCAGCTGGATCCTGTTGGTTCATTCCAGCTGGAAATGGCATACCTATTTATGCCTAGTTCTGGTTGGAAATGCTGCTGTTCCTGCTGGAAGTGGCACACATTTACTGATGGAAAGCTTGCTGTTTCTAGCTGGAACTTTTTGCTGGGTAACCTTTCAAGTGCCAAACCATATATTCATTTCAAGTTCAAGTCCTCTATGCCAAACCTGAATTTATATTTGTCAGGCCTCCTAACCATTTGAAATCACATCTGGAAGTTCAAAAATTTCTTAAATATAAGACACCTTTCTTGCAAACAAGCTCTTGAAAGAAAGAAACTCCATATATGTAGATATGTAAAGTTAGATTTCTTGAAAAAAAAAAAAAACCTGGTCTGGTGGGAATGCATGACCCACAATACTGTGGCACTGAAAGGTTTAAAAGTAACAAACCCGATTCCCCTAAATGAGTCAGGAAGAAGTATTGCAATGCTCAAGCAAAAGCAGGAAGAGAGATTTCACTCTTTTGCATGAATGCATGATTAAATTCCAAATAATCTTCAATACTTGGAATTACTCCATGAAATTTGGCACACTGATAGGTCCAGTATTGTAACAGGGCATACAAGAGTTAAATTTAAAGGTGCTATTGGTTTAGTCAAAATCAATGATGAAGTCTTGTTTTTTGGAAAGGTTTCCTACTCTGAAAATTTTTGAAAAACTATGGAAAAATAATACTCTATGACTGACTCTGAGTGAATATGGGTCTTTCCTGCTAATGTTGACAGGCAAATACATTGAGTGTAATAAAGAGATTCTAGACTCTAGGCAGAAATGAGCTTTCAGATGCATATTTAGGCAACTGTATGCACACATCGTTTGTGGGCATTTAATCATTTCCCTTTGTCTCTGACAGAATAAATTCCCATCATGCATCTGAAGGTCAAGCAAAGAAAGACATCAACTCACTCTCAGCAAGTTTTTAACATGCATTCTCTGACTCAAAGGAAAATCACCAATTCTGATGGATTGGAAAAAATTTAATGAATCTACTAAAACATTTTCAAGTATTGTGTGGAGGAGAGAGGATTGTGTGTGAAATGCCCAAATCCACACTCTTTCTTGGTGAATCTGAATCACTCAAGTTTTGGTGACATCAGCAAGGGATGGTTCTCAATGGGTATGGACAATGGGAATTGGTCAAATCTGGTACATCTGGTATAATCACGGTACACATGGACCTCCATATCTTTTCAACCTTTTCTCTCCAAATAATATTCCAAGTGGTGATGAGATCAGTGCTTGGAGATATGCCCAAAAAAAGTCAAATTTGTATGCCCACTAGAAAATTCTATCAAGTTCCACCTACCTATCAGTCAGTCTATGATTGAGTCAGAGACTGTGTGTTAAAACGCTTTTACATATGAATGCGGAGTAACTGTTCATTTTCATTTTTACAAAATTTTCGGGACAGATTTACATACTCAATTATTGACCCAAAACAGAGTAAAAACTAAAATCCT